CTAATTCATACTTGACCAGACAAGGGTGTCAAATATTTAGTAAAACGGGAACTGAATAGAAAGAAGAGAACATAAAAGAAATCGTTTTGTTCAGATGGGTCTGATATATTATAAATCATATGAAAGTGGCAATTGTCCTTTCCTGGGTTTAATGAGTTTAATATGATTGCTTATGAAATTTTTGGATTTAATCAATTGATATTAGTACACAAGGTTTTTATTCAGATTCTGGATTAGTTTAAAAAACAATTTTATTGATTTTGAGTCATTTAATACATTATACTTAAATTTTGAATAAAAGAAAATTGCTTATTTGGCCGCAATAGTTGGATGACTGCCAAAAAAGCGACAAATTTTGCTACCAAAGCTTTCTTTTCGAAATATAAAGTGAACTAGCATGTTTNCTCCTCCATCAGGGGGGTTGGTGACCCACAAATGACGTCACAAAAAGTCTGTACTTTGTATGGTAATTATAGACGACTGCAGCATTGCCGGAAGGGAAAACGGGTGTGGGTCGGAGACTATAAGGGATAAGCGCATGTCGCAAATACATTTTTTGACGTCAGTTGTGGTCGTGGGTCGTGTATAAAACGAGTATGGGTTACTGTAGAGCTTTTCAGAAGAACAAAAATGTTGGGAATTTCTAAAATGAAACCAGATAATTTTTCTTTTTCCATACTTTGAAATAAAGAAGCTACGAGGTCACAAAGTCAAATATATATAATAAATAAATTTGATCTTTTTTTGATCTATAGTTTGCAAAATAAAAAGATAATTTCAAATGACCTTGCACGGATTCTTGGCACTTAATTTCCCGTGATATAAATAATAAAAATATCTACAAAATCCTTGATCAACAAAGATTTAAAGGGTATTGTTGTAAATCGGACATAACACTTCGATACAAGGTCACTTGAAATTACGCTTACAGTGCCGTTAAGTATCTCTTTATAGGCTGGTGGCGAGGGAGGGAGAATAGAGTGTAGAAACGGGACTTGGTCTCATATACCCAGGTAAATAATAGTGGGTAGAAACGGGACCTGGTCCCATATACCCAGGTAAATAATAGAGTGTAGAAACGGGACCTGGTCCCATATACCCAGGTAAATAATAGAGTGTAGAAACGGGAGCTGGTCCCATATACCCAAGTAAATAATAGAGTGTAGAAACGGGACCTGGTCTCATATACCCAGGTAAATAATAGAGTGTAAAAACAGGACCTGGTCTTATTTACCCAGATAAAGGGTTAGTCAATTCAATTATATTAATATGCAAACAACTGAATGATAAAATATCTAAACATGAAGACAATAGATTCTCTAGATTTTCACATTTGATTATATTAAGGAGACCTTCAAGTGATCCTCCATGAAAAAAAAAGGCAATGCCTGATTTCCAACTGTACCCTTGAAATTTAATTTGATCAAATATGTGGAAGATTCCGTCGTTTGTCTGACTCGAAACATGTTTATTTCTGTGCGTTTCTCCATTGCTTCTTAAAAACAAGAAATGCGCAAGTCACTTACACGAGAACCCGCAAATGAAAATAAACAGTTTAATGAAACAAAATCAATGATAACTAATTCATACTTGACCAGACAAATCTATCAAGAGTGCGCGTTGTGAATCGGACATTGCTATCTTTGCACGGAGTGTCTCTTGAAATAAGGCTGACAGTCCCTTTAAGCTTTGTTATGGTACATATGCGAAAACTGCTAAAACCCCCAAAAACATGATTAAAAAGTTTCCATGTTAGATGTGGACCAGCAAGATGTAAGAGCCTACCAACCCCTCCAACCAATGGGATGATCGTATCTCCGAAAACAACACACGGAGCTGTAGGTACAGCTAGGGATAAGCAACATGTTTAAATATTTAATGTTCTATTGGAATCTATGATTGTTATTAGTTAACCCACAACAGTAAAAACCTATTTTTTAAAAGTATGCTTTACATGATTATTTTTCTCTGACTCTAGATATTGATTTTATCAATCGCTTCTAAAATTGTGTTGGTCAATTATATTTTGGTAAAAATTTGTAATTTGCGAAATAAATGCAAGAGAATTTTGAAAATTGAAAAATTAAAAAAATTTCTCATGTTTCAATAGACAAAACTGTTATAGTTTTTACTTAAGATTTATTTATTTAGGATTATACCAGTGTAAGGACGGATTCAAGCTACAGGTATCTACGTTTAGTTTTCAGAAAATTAAATATGATTTGGATTAGGGATTACAGAATAAGGGATTACNGGGATTACAGGATTAGGGATTACAGGATTAGACATAACAGGATTAGAGATTACAGGATTAGAGATTACAGGATTAGGGATTACAGGATTAGGGATTATAGGATTAGGGATTAAAGGATTAGGGATAACAGGATTAGGGATTACAGGATTAGACATAACAGGATTAGATATTACAGGATTAGAGATTACAGGATTAGGGATTACAGGATTAGGGATTATAGGATTAGGGATTGTAGGATTAGGGATAACATGATTAGGGATTACAGGATTAGGGATTATAGGATTAGGGATTACAGGATTAGAGATTACAGGAATAGGGACTGCAGGACTAGAGACTAGAGGATTAGAGATTGCAGGATTAGAGATTACAGGATTAGAGATTCCAGGATTAGAGATTGCAGGATTAGGGATGACATAATTAGAAATTACAGGATTAGAGATTACAGGATTAGGGATTACAGGATTAGGGATTATAGGATTAGGAATTACAGGATTAGAGATTACAGGATTAGAGATTACAGGATTAGAGATTGCAGGATAAGGGATGACAGAATTAGAGATTACAGGATTATAGATTGCTGGATTAGGGATGACAGAATTAGAGATTACAGGATTAGAGATTGCAGGATTAGGAATGACATAATTAGAAATTACAGGATTAGAGATTACAGGATTAGGGATTACAGGATTAGGGATTATAGGATTAGAGATTACAGGATTAGGGATTACAGGATTAGGGATTATAGGATTAGGGATTATATAGATTAGGGATAACAGGATTAGGGATTACAGGATTAGGGATTACAGGATAAGGGATTATAGGATTAGGGATTACAGGATTAGGGATTATAGGATTAGGGATTATATAGGATTAGGGATAACAGGATTAGGGATTACAGGATTAGGGATTACAGGATAAGGGATTATAGGATTAGCGATTACAGGATTAGAGATTACAGGATTAGAGATTGCAGGATTAGAGATTACAAGATTAGAGATTGCAGGATTAGGGATGACATAATTAGAAATTACAGAAATAGAGATTACAGGATTAGGGATTACAGGATTAGGGATTACAGGATTAGAGATTACAGGATTAGGAATTACAGGATTAGGGATTACAGAATTAGGGATTACAGGATTCGGGATTACAGGATTTGGGATTACAGGATTAGGGATTACATGATTCGGAATTACAGGATTAGGGATTACAGGATTAGGGATTACAGGATTAGGGATTACAGGATTAGGTATAACATGATTAGGAATTATAGGATTAGGGATTAAAGGATTAGGGATTACAGGATTAGGGATGATTGGATTAGAGATGTCAGGATTAGAGATTACAGGATTAGGGATTACAGGATTAAGGATTACAAGATTAGGGATTACAAGATTAGGGATTACATGATTAGGAATTGCAGGATTAGAGATTACAGGATTAGGGATTACAGGATCTGGGATTACATAATTAGGGATTACAGGATTAGGGATTACAGGATTAGAGATTACAGGATTAGAGATTAAAGGATCAGGGATTGCAGGACTAGGGATTGAATAATTAGGGATTAAATGATTAGGGATTACAGGATTAGGAATTCCAGGATTAGAGATTACAGGATTAGGGATTAAAGGATCAGGGATTGCAGGACTAGGGATTGAATAATTAGAGATTAAATGATTAGGGATTACAGTCCTAAACTTTAAAATTCCTGTCCGCCCAAAAGGGATTGTTCATATGTCTGGATAATGTTTGAGGTACCAAGTGTTAAATAGATGATTTTTATTCTACCTATCTTAGGTTTCACAGAATTAACCCAAGATAGAACAATATTTTACATTTTTCTAGATTTTTTTTCATTTTTAAAAATGAAATTTTAATTTTAAAGTTACAAAGTACACTTAGATAAGTATCTCTTAAAAAGTTGATGATAAATATTAAATCTCTTGTTTTGCGTTTTTAAATCGATTAGAATTCTCTCATTAAAGTTGGTACCTCATACACAACGGACAAAAATATCAAAATAGTTTCTAATTGTAGCGTATACTTGTTACATAAATCAATCTCATTAAGATCAATTAGATTCAATAATCTAAGTTTGAAATATCAAAGGTTTAAACTAGTAGGTTGCAAACATACATGGATGAGACAATTTTAGTTTGTGACAGAGACTCAATTCCTTTATTGTTCCAATACACTTGACCCCAGAGTAGGTTTATGAATGGTTTAGATGACAAATTTTGCCTGATACAAATTGTCGACATAAATTTTTTATTGAAAATGCTATTTCAACTGAAAAATCAATACCAAAAAAATCACATCTAAAATTGCTCCTAAAAACAGGGGGCCGCGAAGCGCCCTGAAAGCATAGTCTTTACATATTTATGCATATTTCTCCTTGACTAGGAATATAAAAATATTCCTAAAATTTAGCTAGAGGCTTCAATCCTTCAAGAAATATTCCTTTATCAAAGTTTTAAAATTCAATTTATAGAATAACAATATAGTTCCTTGAATATGTATAGAGTCTATAGAGTCAGGAAGACAGGATTTATTCAGGGCCGGGGGGGGGTGGAAGGCNGGAAGGCATAGGCTCTATTATTTAAGTTCTCATAAGATCAGACAATGCCATAGAAAATGCTCAAGAATATTAATAATTCTTTAGTTAATCATAAAACTGCAAATTCAGCAGAATAAGTCAGCAAAAGAGATTTTAAACTTATTTTACTCTTCATTCTCCAGGCTTCTAGTTATACTACAGGGTGTCCCACGAAACATCACAGTTGGTAAATAGTTTTGAATTTCTTCTTCCACATACTGTATTAGATATTAAAGACTTTTTGCAGTTTATTTCTTTAAACAAATGTTTAACTGATAGATATTTTACTGTGAAATCCTTTTTACTATAATATAACTGTCATATAAAAAATGTTACTAGTCACTTTAGTATCAAACAACTTACCAACTTATGAAAGAAGCCATTTTAATCTATTCACGAACTTTCATTCACGTTTCGTGGGACACCCTGTAGGTTGAACTGCAAGGGCGGAAATGTTTGGATTATCAAGGGAAAATCCCGTCAACAAAATGAAAACTCGTTAATTTTCAATTTGTTTACGAACGGGAAGAAAAACAGTTAATTTATTAAAGCGAATGGAAAACTAGAATATAATTTCATTATTAATGTATTTTTATTTTATTTTTTAAAGCATACATTATAATCCTCTGAGGTTCGTTGACTAAAATTATTCAAGGGAGTGTCTGGCTAGACATGGTAGTTGAGCTGAGAGTGCAGTATCGGACACTCCAAAAGAGCTATAAAGACCATCTATCTATCTATCTATATATATATATATATATATATATATATAGAGTGGCATGTCCGAATTACTTTAGTACCCTAAACATCCTTGTTTGATCAAAGTTACGTGGATATTCTTGTTTTTATACCTGAAAATGAAGTGTCTGGAAAGTTGCCAAACATTATTGTTTGCATTAAACGTACTGGGTCAACACTATATACTGGGTAGCCAAACTGAACAATACAACTGAATGCATATACAGTACATGTTGTACCGTCTCGGAATAATGTAACTTTTAGATTGGGGTACATGTACTATAGCATGAAGTTTATAATGTAACCTCCCGGAGCACAATTTCTAACTATACAAACATACTTATCTACGCATTCCTTGATCGACTAAGGGCACCGTTTCGAATTGTACATGCCACTCTATCTTAAAAATTCGTGAACAATCGATCCTTTTAAAAATTGTTTGCAGGGCCGGAATACAACAAAATGTGAGTTTGGAACATGGTCTGGTGTAACACCAGTTTGTCAGGAACTCTACTGCCAGTTCCCAGGTTAATTGTGTTCCTAAATCTTGACAAAACCGGCCATAAATATTTTACGACATTAAAATATTGAAAACAAAGCAAAAATATTCATTCTTTCATTGTTAAGGAGTGATATTTAGTCAACATGGATTTAATTGATTTTTAATTCCCTTAAGTCCCTTAAGTAAAAAACACGGAAAAAGTAATAATTTCCTCCCCCCCCCAAAAAAATTTTACAATAATTGCTTAAAAAACTCAAAAATTGGGTATGAGAATCTACAAAAAATAACAATATCTCATTTTCCCTTGTAAAAATATAAATACATTTTTATTTCTTAGTCTAAACATTGTTTAAATGTGTACATTGTATATACATATATTCAGAGAACCCAAAAAACTTTGGAATATGAAGACGACATTTAAGCAATCATGGGTATTTGTCGTTGTTTTTAATATAGTGTCATCAGTAGCATGGAACTCAACTTATTAAGTGAAAGGAGACTGTGTACACTGCACAGTTGCTTTGCTAAATATTATTTTGGAATATTTGAAATTATAAATTTTAACAGTCGTCTTCCTATTCCACAGTGTCATGGTTCCCTCTGTATACATATTTGAATATGTCCTAGGATACCTTTCAAATGGACGTATCCTGTTGGTTGGTAAGTTTTCAATTTAATTATATTAATTCATATTATTCTTAAGTATGGTTAGTTCAAGGTCATATTGCAAGGAAAATTATTTCAGAGGAGTGCGCATCTTTTGTACTGCATTGTACTTTCTCTGGGCCGTAATGTAAACACAAGACGGATGTCAAAGCCTGACTTGGGATCCATCTTTTACATAAAAAATCAATGAAATATTCTGGTCATAGGAAACTATTATGTGAATTATCAAAATTATCAAAATTCAATGCTTTTAACCTCCTCGAAAACTAAACGAACACTGAGGAATCTATTAATGTTTAAAAACACCGGTTTCAATATGTACGCAGAGTATACGCAACTGCAATTAACTTTCCTTGCATCATAACCTTGGGTTAGTTACAGGGTTAGGTAAGTAATTGCTGAGAAATATACATTCGCAAACCTAATATCAGGAATGATTCTGGAAACAATAATCATGAACAAATGTTTTTGCTGGTTTCAACGTGACCGGAAATAAATTTTAAAAATTTGTTTGGATATCAATACTGAAGTCTGAAACAATTTGTCATGATGTAAAGATGTATACAGGGTGAATAAAAAAGTGTGATTAGTGTCTGCTTGAATTATTGTTTTTAGATTTTTGTGGAGTAAAAAACTGTCGAGAATAAAGTCGCGAATCTTTTTTATTCTGAAAACCAAAAGTATAGAAACGATTAAATATACCATTTCTATCTAATCCTAAAATTGTATGAAGTTCTGGTTTAATTTTGTTCAACGAGGCTATCAGATAATGAATAGATAAATAGAATAGAATTAGTTTTGGAGATAGCATAAAGTGGTAAACCCGATCTCTATACAAATTTTAGGATTTGATAAAAATAATCTACTATTGCAGTTTTGTTTTTCTGCTCTTTTAATTTTGATAAAAAAAAAATTTTGCAGATTTTTTTTTGACGCTAAAGTGAAGAAAGTTACACAAAATTAAATAAAAATTGAAAACATGACAGGAAAACATGACAGGAAACTATGAAGGGAAAACATGACAGGAAACTATGAAGGGAAAAAATGACAGGAAATTATGAAGGGAAAACATGACAGGAAGTTATGAAGGGAAAACATGACAAGAAAACATGCCAGGAAAACATGACAGGAAAACATGACAGGAAAACATGACAGGAAAACATGACAGGAAAACATGACAGGAAAATATGAAGGGAAAACATGACATGAAAACAAGACAGGAAAACATGACAGGAAAACATGGAGGGAAAACATGACATGAAAACATGACAGGAAAACATGACAGGAAAACATGACAGGAAAATATGACATGAAAACATGACAAGAAAAATACCATCTAGGAGAATTTCACGGGAAACACATACGTTTTCTAAGAGACGAAAGTAATCACATTTTTTTATTCACTGTATTCATTTTAGAAAGTGTGTCTGTTGTGCAAAGTTTTCGTGATAATTTATCATTAAATAACCATATCTAAAATTAAAGAAATATTTTTAAGTAGTTTCTCGGAATTGTCATTGTCATTTTCTATATAAATATTCTTTGCCCTGTGATTATAACTCTCTAAATTTATAACTCTATGCTTTATTTGTTTAAATTAGGAAATATGGGTCTCTACGATTACAGACCTTATGTGAAGAAAATTACAAATGATCGACAAATAATGTTTGATTGCAACAAGGAAACATTGGAAAATTGAAATAATTTAGATTCAGATAATAAAAAAATCACCTTTGTTTGAATAGGGCTATAAGATGCTTTTTTAATTTCATTCGCTTTTATAGTCTACAAATCAACAATCTGAATTTACATAGTTTTCTTTTTATAGTTTTTATTTAAACGCATACTCCAGAAAAAAGGACAGTTTAACTCAGAACTTCGGAGACAACGAAAGAATTTAATAAAATTTTGTCTTAACGACTTTTCTATTGGTTTTATACTATTATGCCTAAATCTCTGTAACTCTGGAAATGAAATATGCGGAAGCAGTTTAAAGAGATCCATAAAATATTCAATTAAAAATCTAAATATCTGCAGCATTCCATTATTTATCAGTAGGTTTAGAAAACGACATTTATAAATTGTTGGTGTCTCCGTAGTTCAGGGTTAAACTCTACAAAACTGAGAAAGCAAAATAATATTGTTAATTTGTCAAATTCTGACCGAAATGTATATGTTAATTACATAAATTAGACAGTTGTGTTTTTTTGGAATCTTGATTCGTCTTTTAATAGGATCATTTAGACTGTTAAATAATTATTTACTACTACTGTACTGCAAGGAATTAAGTTAAGGGAATTCTACATTATCAATGGTTCCCGAGACCAATAGTTGGAGGATTAACCCGTGGTAAAGTATTTTTTAAAAATTTTCGAAAAAGAAAGTGTACACAATTTTATCGTCTTTTGAGATGAAAATGCGCTAAGTAAACTTCGCAGAGCGGGTGATTATTTTACATAACTGTTCCAAGAGCAGTTATGTAACTTAACCAGATTCTGTTGGAGCAATCATAAGTTAATTTTTTTGTTGTTTTTATAGGTTAAATAAAATAAAATATTGAATTATAAGGTCGATGTTTTGGTTTCCATATTTTCCAATTTTTAGGGTTTTATATTATCCTTTGGAAGCCCACAGGTATAGTTCATTTATCAAACCTAACCAACTGAAAAAAACTTAATTAATTTATGAAAATCAATACCTAAATTATTTTAGAGATTTTTGAACCAACAAAAACATTAATAAATAAAATGAAATAACTTAATTGAATACATTTTAAAAACTATATTCAACTTTGTTTTTGTTTATTTTAGATAGCACTAACAGTGAAATTGTCCAGAACTAAAAAGTTCCTTATCTTTTCTTTTTACATAGCTTGGGAACCCAGCCTTGCCTGGAAAACATGTTTTCTCTATAAAGTTCAACCCACTCAAATTTAAACCGTGGTTTCTTTCGAGTTCTTCAATCCAAGTTTGAGGCACATCAGCCAAGGGGTTCCTGACTTATGATCGGACACACATTACATAAAGACAAAAAAGAGACTACATTTTCATATATTGTTTATTTGTATTCAATAAATGTCAAAATGGCTCAATCATTCGGGCCCTAAACAATTAAGACTTTGCCACAAACTTTATAATCACTTTATCTATGCAACCTGATGGTGCAACCCTAGTAATGTAGAATATTGAATATCAGAAGTCTTAGTATTGAATATCTAGGTTCTTTGACATTGGGAGGCAAAGATTTAGGGATAAAATATCAGAGTTTGTGGCAAAGGCTCAATTTTTTGTGGTACCTCACATGACCCCACAAGGTTTATGGAATGGGTGACATTTATGAGTTTTGAAAATCCACCAATTTAAAGAAATAACCTTCAAAACATTGTGTTTCTTGGAAAATGATGAAAAAACCCGACTTCAAATTGTTTCTTTAAAAGCACCCTGAAAGCCTTATTTCTACCCATTGCCCGGTCCCCTCGTAATAAAATATGAACCCCGGGTGCCACCTGTATATTGGGAACCTGGTCCCCTTGAACTACAATATATATGAACCCAGGGGGCCACCTGTATAGGGGGAACCTGGTCCCCTGAAACTGTTCCTGTCTGTATCCCTGAGAACCATCCTCATATTAGGTAAACATTGAACATTCATATTTCTTCAGAATTTTAAGATTTTAAATAATTGGCTTATCTGTATTCTGTAGGACTTGTATTACTATAAAGGACCTATATAATACTGTAGGACTGGTATTACTATATAGGACCTATAAAATACTGTAGGACTGGTATTACTATAGGACCTATAAAATACTGTAGGACTGGTATACTACTGTAGGACTGGTATAATACTGTAGGACTGGTATTACTATATAGGACCTATAAAATACTGTAGGACTGGTATTACTATAGGACCTATAAAATACTGTAGGACTGGTATACTACTGTAGGACTGGTATTACTATAGGACCTATATAATAATGTAGGACTGGTATACTACTGTAGGACTGGTATTACTATAGGAAATATATAAAACTGTAGGACTGGTATTACTGTAGGACCTATATAATGCTGTAGGACTGGTACTATTGTAGGACTGGTATTACTGTAGGACTGGTACTACTGTAGGACTGGTACTACTGTAGGACTGGTACTACTAGAGGACTGGTATTACTGTAGGACCTATATAATACTGTAGGACTGGTACTAATGTAGGACTGGTACTACTGTAGTACTGGTATTACTGTAGGACTGGTACTACTGTAGGACTGGTACTACTGTAGTACTGGTATTACTGTAGGACTGGTACTACTGTAGGACTGGTATTACTGTAGGACTGGTATACTACTGTAGGACTGGTATTACTGTAGGACTGGTACTACTGTAGGACTGGTATTACTGTAGGACTGGTATTACTGTAGTACTGGTATTACTGTAGGGTATACTACTATAGGACTGGTACTACTGTAGGACTGGTATTACTGTAGGACTGGTACTACTGTAGGAGACCAGTACCGTCTATTCTAATGCAAAAAGAAAAACATGAGATATTAAGTTTGAAATAATTTTCCACTGGTTAGTTTCTTTTTCTAGTTTTAAGAATTTAAATATTTTCAAAGAAAGATTATTGAAAGAAATGTCTTTAATCCTTTATGAAATTTATTGAGTTTGAATGCTAAGCATTTTATTTTCAGCCAGATGCATAGAGAATAGAATATATATATATTAGAGGGGAATTTAAAGAATCTCTCGGTATGAATTTTTTCAGTCCCTTTCAGCCTGAAAGGGAGTTCAAAGTGTACAAATCATGTAAATGTTTACAAATTATATGCAGTAGAGTACATTAATACACCATGTTCCCTAGACTATTCATTTCAATTTATAATTAATTAGGTGAATAAAAAAAATCATTTGATTTATAGTTATACCGGAAAATCATCGTTTGTAAAGTGAAAGGCATAGAGTCTATGTGAAATGATCATTGATCAATTATGAAACCAGCCTATTTCATAATTTTGTTTTCTTTTAACATTAATATTATATTTACTATAAAATGATATTCCAGGGCCCAAAAGGTTATATAGCATAAATATGTGAAGTACACCTGCAGTATGCAAACAGTACAACAAAATGGCCGTTTTACACTTTTTTCTAGTAAATTCCCCTCTAATATATATTCTATTCTCTATGTCCAGATGTATAGAGAAGGTTTGTATAATTATTGATTAATTGATAGAAAAAAATGAAAACATAGAAGACATTTCTCAACCCTAGTCTAATTGACCTAGGGTTTCCAATCGGAATTCTGTTGCGCGCAACTGTTCTCGAATTGCATGCAATTGTGCGGAATTGCGCGAAATTTCGCGGAATTGCGAGACGTTTTCCTGGACTAGCAATTGCGTGCAAGTAAAACCCACTTGCGCTGGAAACCCTAAACTCACCACCCCCCCCCCCTCCTCCTAACGTTTTTGGGACATAACTTAAAAATAATTCATTTTAGGGAATTTTAATTTTTTTTCTTTTAACCAATGCAACAAATGCCACAAACTTTAGATTAAAAGCCAGGCTTTAAGACTTTCTGACTGAAAACCTCATTTTCTTTTTCACTTTTTCTAATATATATACATTTAGGTTTATTTTATATATTTATGCATATTTAAATAAACTGGTTTAAGGGCAATTTTTGTATTTGCAAATTTCATGCTATATAACTGAATTTCGCAATGCAAATTTGAATATTTCTTGCTATATAACTAAATTTCGCAATGCATTGTCGAATATTTCATGCTATATACCTGAATTTCGCAATAAATATTTGAATATTTGCAAATTTTTTGGCAAATTTTTAAAGTTTAAGCCCAAAGGCTTTTTAAAAACTTCTGAAATTTCGCTTCGTCGGACGTCAGAGGGATTATTAGAGTTAAGCTAAAAGAAATCTTAATTTTCTATTCAGCCTTTTTTTTTGTAAAAATAAAACTTTTATCAATTTGTTTAGTTTTTAAATAATCTCCCCAATTTGAAACATATTCGGCATAGATTTCATCATTATTAAAGGGACTGTAAGCGTAAATGTAACTGACCCTCCAAGCTGAGATAGTAATGCCCGATTCACAACGGTATCTTAAACAATATATCTTTATTGATCAGATAAAGAATTCAAGAGTACCGTTGTAAATAGGATATTGCCACTTTGTATGGAGGATCACTTGAAATTACACTTACAGTCCCTTTAAATGTTCTTTTTTTGTTTAGATGGCTTGATAAACGATCTATCAGGTATGTTTTTTACATTTGTTGTTTAGTCTTAAAGTAGTAAGATAATTGATTTGGAGTAAAATCATCATTTATGAAACAGTTTTGCTATTTTTCAATTAAAAGTTTTGGAAGATTTTAGGACCTTAGTATTGTACTTATACTCTGCAGTGTGTTTGATCGTACATAATGATAAATTATATATATATATATATATACAGTGATAACCAGAAAACTCTTGAAGAGAAGATGACTTTTAGATCCAAGTTCTGACTTTACAGTTTAAATAGTCCAATTAGCAATGAGACACATCAAATACACTTAGGTATAAAGTTTTCTGGTTATCACTGTATAGTCATATATATCTATGTAATAAAACAAGATATTTATATTATTTAATTTTTAATTAATTCATTTTCTTCGTTTTCTTTGGAAATATTTTAACCTATAAGTTATGCCTTCCTCCCAATTTTTTACTTCCCCTCCCTCTTTCCGATTCCTCCACTCAACCAGAGGGAGAAGGGGGTGGGGGACAGGCTGGTTTTCTTGACCATATGTGAAAGGTTCATTCATTTATGATTTTTTTTTATTAAAAATAGGATGGAAATCACAATATTTTATGTCATATACGACATGAAACCCCAAATTTGCCGGAACTAAGATTTAATAACTTTGAGTTTTTTAGAAAAGAAGTTTTAGAGAAGTTGTTTCCTTCTTCCCTTCTTCCCTCTTCTACATCATCTCCATCTTCCCCTCTTCTATCTTCCACATCAACCCCATCTTCCCGTCTCCTATCTTCCACACTAAGACCTGCTCCCCCTCTTCTGTCTTCTACATCATTTCCAATATCTCCAATAAGATGGAAAGCAAATCCATCTGAGGAAGGGAACACAAATCTTCCAGAGGAAGGGAGAGCCGCTCTACCTGAGCCACAACTAAAACCACTCCAGACAAACCTTGCTTATATTCCTAGGTATTCAAGAATAGAATAGGAAACAGCATTATGATTCTTTATACAGTAGAAACCAATGAACACAGATTAATTGTCGTCTTCATTCTTTCCACAGTTCAAAACACCCGCTGAGAATTTGTGGAATGCAAAACTGAAATCGAACGTCGTCATCATTATTTTGTATAAACACTTACTTTTTGTTTAGACATATATTCTATTTTTCCATTTTTTCAAGGTTTGTTGAAAATATTGAAAGCAAGGAATGGATTGGAAAACATAAAATCCAATAATTGAGTTTTTATCCTTAATAAATATTAGATTAGAGTCCAGGTTATAAATAATGCCCTTAACATTTATTGCAAAATTTGTTGATATTGTGCAAAACAAAATGTTTAATTTAAAGCTATTGCATAAAATAACATATGGTGTACAGTGGAGCCCATAATCATGTGGAATAGGAAAACTGCATTTAAGCAATTTCATGTGTAATTTATGTTTTTAAGTAGTTGTACATCAACTTTCAAATAAAATAGGTCTGAGTACATCGCACAATTTCTGTAGTTACGCGATCATGTGTGATTACATCCTATGCTATAGATTAGTTAAAGATGGGATTAGTTTTGAGAATTGTAAAACGTTTCAAATTTATATACAGTGATAACCTGAAAACTTCGAAATAGGAAGACGACTTTATAGCAATACGGAAGTGTATTTGATGTTGTTATAAAGCAAATAGTTTTACTACAGTGAAACCCTTAATAAAGAGTACATCGAAAGAATTCATCAAATGTCGTATTCTTCACTTTCTGATAATGGAATCTTGTAGATATTTAGTTTTTTAATTAAATGATTATATGGAACTCTTTAAAACTGTTCCCGCATATTGATGGCAATTTATTTATTCTCGCAAATACTGAAGTTTACGTAATACAGTATAAAACTCATTGAAAAATTGTCAAGACGACATTTGATAAATTCTTCCGATGTATTCGTTATTAAGGGTTTCACTGTATACACTTAATAAATCCCAAATCAAGTGAAATGAGCCTGTTTACACTGAACAATTTCTATTTACTCTGCTGATTGGACTATCTAAAGTCATAATTTGATTTTAAAAGTCGTCTTCCTATTCCAGAGTTTTCTGGTTATCACTATAGAGTTAATATTCTTTCATGCTATCGTAAATCTATAACTAAATGTTTTAGATTGAATATCCTAAATACATATTTTGAGCTTCATTCTGCTCCTTAAAATGAGCTAGTGATAAAGAGAATTTCCAACCTTCTGATCTACCTTGCATAAATTGTACGGGGTTAGATCAATGTTTTGTCAAGATCTGTGGTATATTTTACTGTAAAACTCCTGTTTTTATGTTAATTCAAGTTCTGTAAAATCATAACTTGAGCCTAAGAGTCGTTTTCCTATTTCACAGTGATAATGTACAAGTCTTAATTTTTTTAAATAATAACAGAGATTTTAAAGTTTTCTAAAAATTTGAAAAATAAAGTTCGAGTTATGAAAAATTAAAAAAACCAAAAAGCGAAAAAATCTTCTGAAAAAAGTAGATTTTTCTATTTCCTTTCCATTAGAAATATCTAAAACGTGCATTGAGACGAGTATTAAGAAGGAAAAGAAACGTAAATGGATTAGAGAAGAACGAAAACATCAAGAAGGAGATGAATGATGAAGATTGTTCTGAATTAAATGCTGAAAATCTTAATATTGATATGCTCAAACATCAGGCAAGGAGCAATGTAAGATATTAACTTAGGCTTTATTTTCTTCATCCACCAGGACAAACAAAAACATTGTTAACGAACCATAAACGTTGAATTATAATCTTTATTTGTGAAGTAAAAAAGATTTCTTGGCAAACTTTTGAAATGTAAGAATTAAGTTTTGATCCTGTTCCAAGTTGAAATGTAATATTACTATGTGTAGATTTTCTATATTTTCTAGATTAACTAGATTTACTAGATTTTCTAGATTTTCTAGATTTTCTAGATTTTATAGATTTAGTAGATTTTCTAGACTTTCTAGATTTTCTAGATTTTCTAGATTTACTAGATTTTCTAGATTTAATAGATTTTCTAGATTTACTAGATTTACTAGATCTTTAAAATTTTCTAGATTTTCTAGATTTATTAGATTTTCTAGATTTTCTAGATTTACTAGATTTTCTAGATTTACTAGATTTTTTAAATTTACTAGATTTTCTAGATTTACTAGATTTTCTAGATTTTCTAGATTTACTTGATTTTCTAGATTTACTAGATTTTCTAGATTTACTAGATTTACTAGATTTATTAGATTTTCTAGATTTATTAGATTTTCTAGATTTTCGATATTTACTAGATTTTCAAGATTTACTAGATTTTCTAGATTTTCGATATTTACTAGATTTTCTAGATTTACTAGATTTGCTAGATTAACTAGATTTACTAGATTTTCTAGATTTACTAGATTTTTTAGATTTACTAGATTTTCTAGATTTATTATATTTTCTAAATTTACTAGATTTTCTAGATTTACTCGTTTTTTTAGACTTTCTAGATTTACTAGATTTACTAGATTTTCTAGATTTACTAGATTTGCTAGATTTGCAGAATTGTTTTCGTAACTATGAAGAAATGTTTATACCATGAATCCGCAAAGATTTAAATTGTGTACTGCAGTTGAATAATAAAAATAAATTCAGCTTCATGGTTTATAAAATTACATATTGAGTGGGAGAAATAAAGAAGTGCTGCAGTACCTAGAAATCTTTGAGCATTCTGAGAGACATTTCCTGGTCAAAATAGATTTTTGTTTATTGTAGAGTACAAAATACAATGCTGATGGGGTCACGCTGTACGTATCATGCAAAAAGGGATTCATCCTTAACTCAACCAGGTAAAGAAATAGTGTCCCAAGAAACATGACAGACGACAGACGGCTTTGATCTTGGAAACGATTTGCGGCATTCAATTGTCAACTATTTTTAAATATGTGATTCTTGAACAATAATCATAAACTTCCCTGAGTCCTGGAATTACGTTTGCTCTCTCATGTTATTGAATTAGAACTACATTGTTGATGAGACTTCAGAGACGATTCTACGTAATTTATACTGTTTTTTAACATTTATTATTCCCGTGGAATTGTAATATTTTAAGAGTTTCAGGTCGTCTTCACATCTGAACTAAATCGTCCATGTCTGTTAGTTTGTGAGGCACATTCTGTAAAACCCCGGACTTTAAGGGCATTTTGTAATGGTTGTCAAGAACTTGACTTTTAAAATCAGTTTATACAAATAACTGACGCTGACTATTTCCAATATTAAATTGAAGAACCAAACAGCATAATCTTTAACACCGAAGTCTCATTGATAACAAAGTATCATTTTTGATAATTTGGCAGTTTACAGTTGGTGGATGGACGGTATGTTACCACTCAATAATTTGATTTGTGTCAAGGAATAAAATTGAGTGTTTATCTGGAAAATGGAAACCCGCCATACCAGTCTGCACCCCTCTACCCTGTACCCTTCACCAGGATCATATGATCAATTATAGGTAAACCAGTCTGCACCCCTCTACCCTGTACTCTTCACCAGGATCATATGATCAATTATAGGTAAACCAGTCTACACCCCTCTACCCTGTACCCTTCACCAGGATCATATATCAATTATAGGTGAACCAGTCTACACCCCTCTACCCTGTACTCTTCACCAGGATCATATGATCAATTATAGGTAAACCAGTCTACACCCCTCTACCCTGTACCCTTCACCAGGATCATATGATCAATGATTAGTAAACCGGTCTAGGTACATCTCGATCTATATAAGTCTGCCATCTTAACCAGGTTTAGGTAACACATACACATTTAGAGTTTCTGACGCATTTAAATCCAAGGGATCCATAAAGCTGTGAAATAGGATGACGTCTGTCAGTAGAGATGAGTGCATTTGTTTGTTTTTTTTTCATTTCTTTCTTTTATCTTTCGTGAACTACCCGTTTTGCTCGGTTTTTTTCAATCGTTCAACAAAATAAAATAAATTAAGTCTTTGCCACAAATCAAATTTTCTAATTCTTATATCTGTTTAACCTGATGGTGCAAACTATTTATATTTCAAGCTTATATTATTTCATCTAACAGAATTCATAGTTTGAAATATCTAAGGTCTACGACATTGGGTTTCGAAGATATAGGTATTAGAAAATCTGAGTTTGTGGCAAAGACTCAAAGCCTTTAAAATAAGTTTTTTATAATAGAAAGAAATCATAATTTTGTAGAAGCGCAGCTACTGAATTGAAGGCTGGAGAGAGTGTAGAGTACGAATGCAAGAAAGGATACAGTCCTCAAAACTCAAGGTTTCTTCTTCATCCTTTAAATATACCAAATATATTTGTTTCTCCCCTGAAAAATACCAAATATATTTGTTTCTCCCCTGAAATATACCAAATCTATTTGTTTCTCCCCTGAAATATACCAAATCTATTTGTTTCTCCCCTGAAATATACCAAATCTATTTGTTTCTCCCCTGAAATATACCAAATCTATTTGTTTCTCCCATGAAATATACCAAATCTATTTGTTTCTCCC